CCTGCGCGTCCGGAGCCTGTGCTCCGCAACGGGAGAGGCCACAGTGAGAGGCCCGCGTACCACAAAAAAATAATAATAATAAAATTTCCATAGTTAAAAATTAACAAAGATTTAACAATTACTCCGAGAGCTAATAATATCCCTTCCCTCTGCAGGAAGATAAGTTGGTGATTATTCATGTATAACTCCTATAGCACTTACTCCCATCATTTGGCTGTCATATACAATAATCCTTGCCAAACTAGAGATCACCCTCACAAATTAAAAAACATGCTGATTTCCTTTGGTGCATCTTTTCTTCAACCAAGAAATCTGTCTTTCTAATAAATGAGAATTGCAAGCCACTCCTACTGGGGATAATAAACTAAAGAAAGTAAAGGGTAAGAATTTTAAAAGGAAGACAAATGACAGAGCAGGTATCATTTACATAAAGAAGCGTCAGGAAAGAGTAAAGAAAGTGAAGCAAATGAAGTTTGTTTCTAGACTTTAGAAATAAACTTCTACACCCATCAGTAGCGAGGGCTGAGTCATATGTTACAGGTACTGAAGCCCTGTGTTTTGGCATGGATTTATTATAAGCAGAGCCCTCATCATAAAGCTGTATATACTGAGGAAAGCTAGGCTGAGCACACTACCTAAGTGCTAGCTACATCACCAAGGCCCCCATGGAACCCAAGGAAGCTAATCGACAGCTTCAGATCATAAAATCAGAAAAGTATTAAACATTTAGAGGAAGAAAAAAAGAGGGAAAAATGTCTCCTGGTTGTATATTATCTGCCTGATCGTGTATTCTAATTGTGTATTAAAGCAAAACAAACGTTTACGCATCTCACTGAAACTCAAGTAGTGCGAAAGAACCTCATATTTCCACAGAGCAAGAGTGGTGCTGCACTCACTACTACAAATTTAACAATGGAAAATATGGATGTACTTACATAGTCCTTCAGATCTTCATGTACTACCTCAAATTCACTAATCCTATTTTTTAAAAAGTTTTAAGTTTTCAACCACATCTATCCCCAGGATTTTGAGAGACTTAACTCCAATGGTTAAGAAGAGACTTCCATTAATTACTTAAGCTTCTTATTATTTTTTGTCTCTTCAATGAAACACCAAGCCACTTAAGGCTAAAACTACGTCTTTTACCACTTTAAATCCCCTCTATGTATTCTACATAGAGTAGATGCTCAATAAGTGTTTGATCATTTAGCAATTAATGAAAAACAAAGTAATATATATGGCAAATAATTACTCTAAATAGTATTAAGAAGGCTTCTGAGGAAAAGACCTGTCCTCAAGGAGTTGCTAATCTCTTCTATTATACTGATATTTCAAATATGCCACAGTTTGCGGGGTTTGCGGAGGAGGGGGAGCAGTACACAAAATCATTATTGTTGCTGTTTAACAATCATCATCATTTCAAAAGTATGCCAGAATTTCCACAAACTTCCAATGACATGAAAAAATCTTTTCTCTAAAGACTATTATACAAACTGAACCAGATCTACCCCCACGTCTATTTATGATTGGGATAATAATGATTAGAAAGTAACAACACACTCAAATAGGCATCAGTACTGAATATATTGCCTATTAACTAGAAAAAAAAATAGGATTATGGCATTAGTAGATCAAGGAGCACAGAGTAGGGATAAATTTCAATATGGATAGTAGGAACATACACTGACTGTTTGGAATCAAGAATTACTTGGAATTACTTAGGTCTTAAATAAATATTTTTACCAATATTGCTAAGAAATAACAAAGAGTCTACCAGTATATCAAATAGAAATGTGCAACATGACAAGTAATCATAAAAACCACTGCAGTTAATTGGAACCCTCATACATTACTGATGGGGATGTATAATGGTGCGGCCACTGTGGAAAAGTTTGGCAGTTCCTCAAAAAGTGAAACAGAGAAATGCCAGTAATCTTATTCCTAGTTTATACCCAAAAGAATACCCAAAACAAGTATTCAAGTAAATACCTGTACATGAATGTCCAGAGTAGCACTATTCATGACAGCCAAAAGGTAGAAACACAAATGTCCATCAACAGATAAATGGATAAACAAAATGCAGGTATACAATAGAATATTGTTCAGCCTTAAAAGAGGAATGAAGTACTGATACATGCTACAATATGCATAAGCCTCCAAAACATTATGCTAAGTGAAAGAAGCTAGACACAAAAGGTCACATACTGGATGATTCTATTTACATGAAATATCCAGAATAGGTAAATCCAAAGACAGAAAGCAGACTTGTGCTTGTCAGAGTCTGGGGCAGGAGGTTATGAGGAGTGACTGTTCAATCGGTGCAGGGTTTCTTTTGGATGTGGTGAAAACATTTTGGTGTTTCCCTTGGATGTGATGAAAATGTTTTGGAACCAGATATAGGTAATGGTTCTACAACATTGTGAATGTATTAAATGCCTCCAAATTGAACCTTTAAAATGGTTAATTTTGTGTTAATTTCATCTCAATAAAAAATAAACAAATAATCCCCCAAAACACAGTTCAAGAACAGCCATGCTTCTTATTGTCTATATCATAAAATACTAAAATTGTTTTCCAGAGATTTCTCTATATACCTGATTACCAACTTTTTCTTCATTCCTAAAAGCCATACCTAAGTCCATCATTCTCTTTCCTCTAGAATCCTCATCTCCATATGGCTCAGCTACCCTTAACCCCGTCCTCACCATCCCTCATCAATCCCTTTCATTTTGCCCTGAGAAACCCTAGTTACATTATGAGCCACCATCCAGTTAACCTGCTCCTCTTTCTGTGGAAAGATAAGCTTTCTTTTCAATTTTTCAAGCTTTTCAGTATGTATATGTGAAATAATAAGATACCCAAATGGAAATATTTGGCACGGTGGACATAGAGAACTTGAATTCAAGAAAAGTCGCTGATCATCATGAACACATTAGTATTTGATGAAGCTGGGTGTCATGTTACGGGAAGGCAATTTAGAGAAGGAATAGGCTAAACGATTGTTTTGACATTCTATAATGTTTTGCCTAACCCTGGATCTTTTGGTTTCTGTCACCCTGCCCCAGGTATTACTGGAAAAAGTTATGAAATCCTTCAGAGTGAGTTCATTACAAGTTCACATTGTTTCAATTTTGATTGAATACTACTTTTAAGCAAGGCTTTTATTCTCTTATTGTTGATTTGTTAGCACAATGATTTCCAACCTATGAGCTTCGGACTCCTGGGAGCTGGAGAATTAGTTATCACAATGGGTAGCCAGAGGCATGCTTTATATAAGGCCATATATGTTGCAGACAGGCCTTACACAATATTTTTCAAATGTGTAGACAATGTTGTGGTTAATAAAATACAAAGTCATGTATGAGTGTACTGAATAGCTTTTTGCTAATATGCATTTTCTCAATTAACAAATACTAAAAATATAACTATAGTTATGTGGGGCGGGGGGTCCACAAATTTTTTTGAAGTTAAAGAAGTTGTCATCTTCAACATATTGGGATCCACTGCCTAACAGTATTCCCCATAGCACCTAAACATCTTTCCCACACTCTAAGCCTCTAAGTATCCCCTGCCCAATTCCAGACCCACTTCCACTTTCATTTTCCCAAGAAAATCAAACACATCCTCATATATTCCCTCATCTACCTCAATCCATCTGAATTTATTCTTTCTCCTCCACCTCTATAAATATTTGGTAATTTAGCAATTAAATGTCTCTTCCCTTTTAAGACTAATTCAGACAATATACCTGAGCCCATCTCTTATTTGCCTCCCTTACCCCAATCCACCAAACAGGTTTAATCTCTCCTTCAAGAGATTTTCCCCTTCCACCTAAAAATATTATCAACTCTCTCTTATTCTGACAAAACTTTACTTGATTCTGCTCTATGTTCTAGCTACTATCCTATTTCTTTTCTTCCTTTTGGTGTCAAATTCTCAGAGCTGGCCTACTACAGCCTGAGCCAGACACCTGTTTTGTAAATAAGATTCTGTTGAAATAGCCATCTCATTTTTTCTGATATCATGGCTGCTTTCCTACAACAAGGGCAAAGTTAAGTAGTTAGGCGATCCTATGGCTTGGAAACCTAAAATATTTCCTACCTGGCTCTTTAAAAAGTTTGTCGATCTCTGGGGCTCCAAAGCATGATCTATATTCAATATCAGCATTTTCTTTTGAGGACAAGTGGGTGCCATTAAAGGTTTTAGATCAGCAGTAAAGTACTGAGTAAAGGGCATTTCAAGACTACCAATTTAACAACAGCATACAGGGAAGATATAAAAGATCATTTAAGAAAATATTGCAAGAGACTACACATTAAGCATAAAGGGAGAAAAATAAAAGGGACTTTTTAAAAGGATAAGCATCAATACTAGATGACTATATGTGACAGAGACAAAACTAACACCAAAATTTCAATTCTCGATTATGTGGCTCTCAAGAATCTGCATTCTCTCCTACAGTCTACTGTAGACTTACAGCTCTTCATAGTTTCCTACATTACTGATTATGGAGTTCCTAAAAATCTTAATACTAATTCCATATCTTCTGTATACCAGGCATTCCCCATGCTTGCTATATGGCTACCTCCTGGGTAAGCAAATCGCTTAGGAAGAGCCAGAACCAACAGAGTTGGCCAAATAAGAGCATAGGGCCAATGTCAGAGTTGGATGGAGTACTCACCTGTGGTACCAAGCAGAGAGAGAGGGGAACTAAGATTTCAGGTCCAGAACTGGCTCTAGCCAAACAGGAAGAAGCAGTTATGAATTTGCTTATAGCAGAAGCAGAGTGTCTTTGATATCCTGACATACTTTTCTGATGTTCAGACAGACCACCATTAAAGTGGCCACTGGTAAAAGAGTCTCATGAAAAACAAGCCAAAAAACAAGACCAAAAGGTGAGGAATTAAATGGAGCAGACCCTAATGGTCTTTTGTTTAGGAAAAGCAGTCTTCCTTATTAAAGATGATACTACTTTTCATAATGGCCAATATGATACTAACCTTCATTAACAGAATTTTCACACCCCACAAGATTGAGAAGGATATCGTCATCTTTATCATCAACTTCACATCCCAGCAGCATCCAGCTTTCCACATTATCGCTTTCTGAAATGGTGCTCTCTTCCTCTTCACTTGAACTGACCTCTATAATCATGACCTCTTGGATTGTACCTGATCTCTCTCCAGGTTTAGTCTTCTCAATATCCCTCTTGCATTTCTTATCTGTCAACTCATTAGAATGAAGAAAAGCAGGAGGACCTTGGGTCTTTTCTTCTGCATGGACTCTAAAATTCTTTCTTTTACATTTATAAATACTATCTTCATCAGACAGTGTGATGACCTCTGACCCATCTGATAGCTGGATGACCTCACTATCTGAAAGGATAATTAAGTTCTTCTGATTTGGTTTACTATTGAATGATTCAGAATTCCCAGAGTTCTTCTCTTCATGTTCTTCCTCTGTGATGACATTATCAAGATCTTGGGCATAATGAACTTGGCTGTAGAGCTGAAATTCCACCTCACTATCAACACTCAGTTCACTAGATGACTCTTCACGATAAAGGTCATCTTCATATGCTTCTATGGTCTCATAACCACCAAACATCATGGAAAGTCAGTAACCTTGATGCTGTAAAAGAGAAAGTCATAGAAAGAATATATTTTAACAGCTCAGATCATGCCTGTTTAGTGCATAATGATATCACCTCTTAGAGCTAACTTCTGTGAAGGCCATCATTTTTCTCAATGACATATTAAAATACCTTTTTCTCTTAGAGTAGTACCATTTTTCAAGATTTTCTAAATTGTTATGACACACTCTAATAATGCCCAGCCCCTCCCAAATGAAAATTACTGCCAACAAACTGAGTTACAGTTATTAATGGAAATGTTATATTTCACAAGTATGTTAGAAAGGAAAAACAGGTTGAGATCCACTGTTTCAGACACCAATCACTTTTTCTCCACAATGTTAAAAATCACAAAAATATTTTAGGTCATTCTCACTACTATTCCACCCATTCTTCATCTTTTCCCTGGCTCTGGTTCTGTATCTCATCTTTTCTGGTATACATTCTCACACAGGAATATTACTTCAATTATGACTAAAATCCACAAAAGGACATAATTATCATATTTAGTGTTTTGGTGTATATTTGTCTTCTCAATTAAAAAAATAATCTCCAGGCCTTCTGATCTTTGACCAAAAGAATACATAAAAATAGCTGATAAACTTAGTTTATTTCTGTACCTATAAAGATATGTATGAAATACAAACTAACTGAAGACCTAAAATAGAGGTAAAACTCAGCTTTAGGAGCACTTTACTCCTACTGTGAGCACAGTAAATCCTGCTCATCCTTCAACTCTGTTTAAATATCACTTCCTCGGGGAAGCTTTCCTTGACCCACCAAATTGTCGACCCTTTATAGGTTTCCACAGCACTTTACATTTCAAAACATTCACATTTCTAATTACTAGTGCAATGTAAATTTCCCACAAGCACAAATCACATACCCCAGGAGGGCAGGAACTATATGCGCTTTGTTAAACAATGGATCCCCAAAACCAAGCAGAGTAACTGGCATTTAGTAAGACCTCTATAAAGGTCTGCTGAACTAACAAATGAATAAATAAATGAATAATATCATCAGGTATTTGTTCTAAAGCACTAATAAATCTAATTATGTCTAAAATATGAAAATTATGATGAGATGAATTTCGTAGCTGTCTCCAACTATTTCAAAGATTCTCATATCATCAACCAAAAATCTACACAGATGTTTCAATTAGGTACTAATGGAAAACTGATCAAAATGAGAGTGCTGGAAAAAAACTCATTTTTGTTTAAAAAAAAAAATCAGGCACAGTATAGAGAACAATTAAAAATGACAATTTATTCTTTCTACTCTACTTTTAGTTATACAGATACAATTTAGAAAGACTAGTTGTTTTCTTAGTTTATCAATTGTCTGCCCAAAATGTCAGGGTACTTTTGGTAATACAACCTGCTGACTCCAAAAATCAAATGAACAAGAGCCAAAAATGTACTACACGCATGCTGGAGTTTCTTGTTTTACAGACATAAAGAAACCAACTTTTGTTGTACACCTTAAACTTACACAATGTTATATGTCAATTATATCTCAATAAAGCTGGGGGGAAAAAGATGATTAAAAGTTCTGAGTTAACAATATTGTATATATGAAATCTGCTAAGAGAGTAAACCTTAAATGTTCTAACCACACACAAAAAAGGTTAAGATGTGAGGTGATGGATGTGTTAACTAACCTTAATGTGGTAATCATTTCACAATATATACATATATCAAATCATCATGTTGTACACCTTAAACAATGTTGTCAATTATATCTCAATAAAGCTGGAGGGGGGGAGACCCAACTTTTAATGCCTTTTTTCCTTCTAAAAGGTACAATATACCTGTTCCCTTCTTGCACTGTCCTTCAGGTTGCTATGCTGTTGTCATACAAGTTGAATGTGGCTGTCTGAAAAGTAATGCTCATAGCATTTATCAGTTTATATTGAAATGTTAGCTTCAGAGGAATACAAATAAAAGATGAATCCTTTCCTTTTTATTTAATAGGTAAATTAATTCTAAAAGAAGTCAAAGGAATTATGCTTCCTTCCAAATCCTCACTGGATCCATCTTGAGGATCCAGTGTGGACTTAAGATAAAACATAATTCCGGTGCAGCACAGAAAAAAATTAAAGAGCTAAATTACAGAGTTACAAATTTGTACTACTCTTGGAGCCATCCCAAAGGAAAGGGATTAAGAATAGAGCCATAGGCACACCTGTGAATGTATGCCAAAAATAAACTACAGAAATAAAATAAAAACAGACTTCCTTGGGTCTAAGGGTTTATCTCTTCCCCTGAAATGTAGAAAAATGAATTTAACAATTTAGCCCCTATGGCCTTTAAGAGGATTTTGTCACTTCTGTACTGAAAATTGTGCTCAGCATAACCGGCTCTTCTATTTATGTAGCTTATGTATGCCAGAGTTAAGGTCTGCCTGAGGCTGTTTTGGTTTATGTTACTACTTTAATCACATTCAGACGCATTTAGTTAACTTTTTAAATTCATACTCCAAGGATGAATATGAAAAAAATACATATGTATATAACTGTCTTGATTCAGAAGGACTTCTCAGCCTTTTGATCATTGTACACAATTCTCAAGCATATTTAATTAGATAACATAAAGTCCCTATGAGAGTCACAAAATTTTAAATCTGGAAGAGACCTTTCAGATTATCTCATCAACCTCCTCAATTTACATATAAGGAAACTGAGGTCCAAAGAGATAAAGACGCCTATCCAAAGTTATTTAGCTGGTTAAGAACACAGCTAAAACTGATTCACATTTCCCTGATTAAAAAAATAATAATCCTCATTTTGAATAAAGATTAAAAAAAAAAAAAACCTTCCTTCAAAGCTAAATTTGCAGTGGCTCTAACACCTAAATTTACCTAACAAATATCCATTTTATTTCCGTGGAGTTTAAAAACTATAAAAGAGGCATTTTAATTGGAAAGAAAAGCATACATTTCAATTTGTCAGTTTACCATCCAAGAGCTTCCCAAGTTGGTACACAAAGGCTATAGCAATGCCATGACCAAAAAAGATGGCTCTTATATAAGAACTTAAAATATCAGTTTGGGAATAAAACTTCTCTGAAGAATTTAAATGGCTTACTATAAAACAGCTATAGAGAATAACTGCAAAGGCTCTCGCTGTTCAAAAGTGAGAGCAGTATTCATTCACCGATTTTTTTTAAACTAGACAACTTAAAGCTTATTTAAGCTTTCAGATTTTATTATACAATCTTTAAAGACAACATTTCTGCTCTAACAGTCTACCAACTGGTCATTTCAGTCCTTGTGCTCTTATTTCTCTTCAAAGAACTTTTAGCCTAGATACTTCTTTTTGATGAGATAGTTATCCATCTCAAGGAAATTTAAATCAAATTCACAGCTTGATATCAAGCCTAGTTTTCTTTAGAACGTGATAAGTGATTAACAGTTTAATTTCAAATTAAAATTTCTGACTTAGTGAGCTATCCTGATAGTGACAGATTTGAAACACTACTGACTCTAGCGTTAAAATTTCTGTCCACTCTTCGAATGGGGCTTTCAATTTGAAGTAAATCAAACTGGGACAGAGAATTCAAATGTGGGAAACAACGGTCACAAAAAAATTCAGACAGAATACAAGACGCTGGTGAGAGAAAATAATGCTAAATTTATTCAGACAAGTCCAGCTGTTCCTGACATAAAGTCTTTATACACTAACTAATCCTATCTCAAAACACTTCCTTCACCTTTCCCTCAGCCCTTTTTCCTGTTATTACACAGTATCTTATCCTTGAAGTTATTGTCCAATCCTCACTTCCACTTCTTCCTCAGTTTATTCCCCACCCTCACTCAGGCTCTCTTGAAAACAGCGACAGTGAATTATCCCCAAAGCACAATACCGTCTGAAATATACACACAGCCGAAAAATTCAAAACACAAGAGTTTTGGAAGGGACCTGAAAATCATTAAATTGAACACTCATTTTATACACTGAGAAATGGGCTCTGAGAAGCTTATTTATTCATTGCGCATAAAAGACCTCCTAATTCAACCCCGTAATCTGAAATCAAGGTAAATACAGCCTAAAGAGAAGATTTCTGGAGTCACCAGCGCGAGTTGGTGGTGGAGCCCCGGCTAGAACGCAGGCCTGCTGACTCTCCAGACAGCCAGTTTTCCCACTACATCTGCAACTCTTGAAGTTAACTGCCGGCTACGATGTGAAAGATAAAGGGAATCAGCGAACACAGTCCAAGTCTCCTTGTTTTACGTGGGGGAAGGGGCCCATCTCCCGAAATTTTTCTGTGCACACAGCTGCAGCTGCTGCTTCTGACTGCTGACGCTGGATTTGGCCCAGGACTGTTCGGTCCTCAAAGGCCGAGCCCTCTTCGCGTTTAAATGACTGACCGGCTTTCCTAAAAGACAGGGGAACCTCGGGGTGGGGGGGTGGGGGTGGAGGTAAAATAGGCAGAAACGCCACTCCTCACCGAGGCCATGGGCGCCCAGCCATTTTTGAACCACGGCCTCAGGCGTTGGAGGGGCAGGGAGAAGCCCAGCCGGTCCGCGGAGTCGCGTGGAGCAGAGCTCGACTGAGAGGCCAGGAGCCGAGCCCCGCCACGAGTAAGGGACACAGTGGGGACGCAGAGGCCGGCGAGGGGACACGCGCTAGTTCCACAGCCCAGCGGGCGAGGCGGAGGGCGGGCAGGGGTCCCCCGGCCGCAGACGGCTCGGGGTCCGTCACACACATACTCACTGCCGCGGCTGCGACCAGGAAGCACCAACCAGGAACCAAAACGCGTAGAGGGACGGGGAGGGGCGAGGACAAATGAGGTAAGAAAACCGCGTCCGCGCGAACCCGGGAGAAGGGAAGGCACTTCCGGGGAAAACACAGCTCCCGGGAGTCGTCTTCCGTCCCGCCCACCCACTAGGCCTTCTGTACGCATGCGTAACAACTATTAACCCTTTCCTTTCCCCTTGATGTGCCTGTCTTGCTCTGGTCCTTCCCCCCAACGGCTTCTTTCACAGATATTTAAGCTGCATCTGTGACAGGGGACACCATGTTTGAATGACTTGCACAGAAGATATGCTACTTACCGAGCAAAACCGGGGAGAGTTAGCGCCTTTCTGTGCTGGCGAGAAAAACTACATCTACCATGATGCTCCGGGGCGAGGTTTAGCCCGGGCTCTTCCTCCTTTACCCCTGACCTCGGAGGACACGCTCCATGCGCCACGTGGCGCGGGAGCGGAGCCGAGACCCAGCAAGGGGACGAGGACCGGTGCGGCAGACGGCTTGGCTGGTGGACTCGGGGAATCCCAGCGAGGGAGAAGCCTCTTTGAGAGCGACTCGTATAGATCCTTCTCTCGAGCTAGGTGACCTTAGGCAGGTCCCTCCCACCTCTAAGTTGAACGTAAACTTAGTTTACACTGGGGCGCTTCCGGCTCGTTTTTTCCACTAGAATACAAGACGACAAGATTTAACCCTTTGTGAACCTTGAAGAGCTGAACTCTTGCGAAAGATTGAAGTCAATACTGGTCCCTTGGAAGCCTCCGGAGGCTACAGATTGTGTTGGGAGCCCCTAGCTTCGGTTCCTCGTCTCACACCTTATTTTAACAGTAATACTAAACCCAACTGTACATCTTTATCAATTCGTCGGCCCTTGGCAACAGTCTTGAAAGATAAGTTTGACATTGATTATTTTTGCCAACATTTATCGAACATGTGTTTAAGAGCCAGGCAGTGCTAGCAATTGAGAATATAGTGGTAGATGTTTTAAAGTCTCTGGTCTCAGAGCTAGAATCTACCTGAGAAAGCAGAATACAGATAGTTTGCTTATAGTCTAAGAGTTTGACCGGAAAAATAATTAGAAATTTTAGTTAGCATTATGGTAAGTGCTAGGAAGGAGGACAGGATACAATGAAAAGGTAAAATTGGAGGACCCATTTTGCAGAGGAGGAAACAGGCTAAGAAATGGGCCACAGAAATTACTAGATTGTTTATTAGGTAATGTGTATTGTGTAGAACAAATGTTATCTTAAAAATAATAATATACTGAACTTTTATCAAGTGCCAGGCTTACTCCTATAAATTTACTATGTATAAACTTTAAAATTTTAACAACCCTTTGAGGTTGAGAGTTTTTAAAAAAGGAAATAGATTCAGAGGTTAAGTAACTTGCCCAAGGCCACAAGGCCAGGAAATGCTCCCAATTACTATGCCCAGTGCTCTCACTATTACTCCTGTATTCAACAAAGATTTGCTATGTTCCCATGCTCAAAATGCTTAGGCACCCCCAACAGGTTATGTCATAAAACCTAGAATTCTTTGGATGTCGTAAAGAACACTTCATGAGCTGACATCTGCCTACCTCTTTACCACCATGCTGAATACTGGGCCGTTGCCAGAACACACTATGGCTCTATCACATCTGTGCCTTTACAGAGAGCATTCCTACTGCCTGTAAGGTCCTCCCTGTCATTCACCCTACTCTGCTCAAGACTGAGTCTTCAGGGAAATTTTCCAACTTAACCAGACAGAACAGGCATTCCTTCCCTGGGCTCTACTACACTTTGGACAAACCTCCATCAAGACAGTTATATTGCCTTAAAATTGTCTCCTAACTGGATTGTGGGCTCCCAGAAGGCTGAAGCTTTGACATTTTATCTTTGTGTCCTCGCCAGCTAATATAGTGCTTGACAGACAGCAAGCACTCAGGAATGGTGTTAAAGGAATGAAGGACCTCTAACTACCTGAGGTTCTAGGAAACCAAGAACCAGATATGGATCCACTAGCTATCAGTTCAGTGGGAAACATGTCATGACTCCAAATAACTGGAATGCAGTGTAGTGTTCCATGATACTAACATGGTGTAAAGAGCTGCAGGGACCCCAAGGATACAGAGATTTCTGACCAAGAAGAGTAGTGTATATATACACGCACCCTGCCTTTACATGATAAGTTCTCATTTAGACGGGTTTTAGAAATCACGAGATTCAGTCTCCTATTGTGATGGGGAAACTGAAGTTTTGCCAAGAGTCACATGGCAGAGGCAGAACTGTGTGTGTAATCCAGGTCTCTGAGTCTCTCCCCAAACCACCTCACACTGTCTCTGGCCCACACCTCTTGAGATCACAAATGGTAGCATGCACAAATATCCTGGAGCCTCTCTTAGAATGTCCTAAGGAGTCCATTTGTTTGAGAGAGGAAGCACCTGCTTTCACCAGGGCAGTGGCAGTACTACATCAACAGTGAGCAGCTGAACTGGGGTGAGGGGCCAGGAGAAAGCAGAAACCTGCTGCAGAGGGCAGGCCAGGTGGGGGATATAGTGCAGCAGGATCTGGGCAAGTGACTTACCCTTACCCTTCCGTTGCAGAGGGAGGAGCTACCTCCTTTATTTTATTCTGGTTTAGTGGTACCTAGAACCTCTGAAAAACTAATCATTTTGACCTTTTATCAGTTGCCTTTCCATTACTATCCATTCACTGGCAGCCTACTATGTAATGACCCCTTGTGAGCCACTTCAGATATATTGTCTGCCAGATACATTGTAAGGGAGTGTTAGCCCATTTCACTAGTGTGGAAATTGTGACTTGGCGAGGTCATGTGACTTGCTCTAAATGACAGAGCTGGTATTCAAACTCAAGTCTTGTCTGAATCCAAAACCTATGCTCTTTTCTATGCCCAAACTGCCTTTCAAAACTAAACTCCTAGAGGGTGGAGACTATGATGTCCTGCTTCTGTCTCTCCAGTACTTAACCCAAGGCAGAGTATGTTTCAGGCTCCCAGAGGTCACTGGTGGAATGAGTGGATTCAGCATGGAATGTTTGCCAAATGAAAGCCTGGGTGCTGTATGAACAGTGTTGTGGAACAGCAAAGGAGGGAGCTGCTGGCTGCTAAGGAGCAGTGGAGAAGCCTCCTGCAGAGGAGCAGGCCAAGTAAGTGGTTAGTAAAACAGCAACAGCAGTCCAGCATTCTAATCGTAAAAAGAGCACAAACAGGCAATTCACAGAAGAAATCCGAAAGGCCATGAACTATGATAAGTGTTCAGCATCACTAATAATCAGAAAAATATGAATGACCTCATACACTGTGGATGGAAATACAAATTGGAAAAGCCTTTTAGGGGAGTTAGTTGACCATATCCATCAAAATTGTAAGTGAGCTATGTTCTTAAATGTATGTAGAAAGATTGTGATAGAAAAAAAAGGAAACAACAAATATTCATCGATAGGGAATGAAATAAACAAGGATACAGCTATACTATTTTTTTAAGTATGCTGCTTTTAAAAGAATGAGATAAATCTGTATGTACTGACATAGATCTCCAAGACATACAGTTAAGTGAAAACAACAGGCAAATTGCAGAGCAATAGGTGTATTATGTACTCATTTTTGTTATAGTTTAAAGAGTTTGTGTGGCTGTATATAGATATGTGTGTATATAATGCATAGAGAAAATAGTGGATGGATGTCAGTAACAGTGGTTACTGACTTCTGAGGAAGGAAGTGGGAGTGGAAGGGAATAAAGAGGGACTTTTCACTTAAAAAAAAAAAAGACGTAATTCAGTGGGAAGAACACACATCACTTCTGGGGTACTCCTACCAAAGCACATAACCTGAATATAATCATGAGGAAACTATGAGACAAAAACAAATTAGGGAACATTCTACAATATACCTGACTCTTAAAACACTTCAAAAATGTCAGTCATAAAAAACAATGACTGAGGAATTGTTCCACGCTCAAGGACAGTGAAAGAGACATGATACATAATAAATTTAATTCATGATCTGGGATTTTCTTTTGCCAGAAAGGATATTATTGGGACAATTAGCAAAATCCAAACAAATCTAGATTTGATGACAGTGCTGTATAGCTGTTTTTCTCCTGATTTTTATATTTGTATTACGGTTATGTAAGAGGATGTCCTTGTCTTTTTTAGGCTGTATAATCTGAAGTACTTGCAGTAAAAGGACATCATGTCTGAAACTGATTCTCAAGTGGTTCAGAAAAAAATTGTTTTGGGGGCAAGGGAAAGGGAGAGAGAACAGAGAAGGATAACACAAATGTAGTAAAAAGTTAACATTTTGGGAATCTGTGTAAAAGGTATCCAAAAGTTCTTGGTACTAATTTTGCAATTTATATCTAACTCTGAAATTATGCCAAAATATAAAATTAAAAGGAAATCTAAAAAGAATAAGAGTTTGCCTGGTGGAGAAGGCAGGGGGAATCTTCTGGCAAAGGAACAAGATAAGCAAAGGAAACTGACAAGCATGAGTCTTGCATTGAGAAACAATCAGTGGCTCTGAGTGTTCAGAACATGGCATGGTGTGGGGAGAGCGGGAGGGGAGAGAGTAGGAATCGTGAGCAACACAACCCACAAATGGACCCAGTTCCCTGCTACCTAATATCAGAAATGAACGTTAAGCCTTCTTTATGCCCAGCCTCAAGCCCTGCAAAAAATAACTCGAGTTCTTATGGCTGCCCTGTCATTTCATTGACAATATCTCTTCATCCAGTGACTATAGAATAAGAAACCCTAGGACAGTGGCTGAAAGGGACGTCGAGGACAACTCAACCATTTTGCAGAAGGGAAAACGAAGACCCACAATGAAGGCAGGATTTGCAAGTTCCCAGCAAGCGTTAACACTGGCTTCCAGTTCACAGTCCATTACTCTTTCTATTGTGCAAAATCCTGAAAGGTTGAGGCAGAAATAGAGACTGACAAGTGAAGTGAATGTTACCCTTTAAAGTTTGGATGTTTTTCATTTGCCACAAATACAGACTTAATGTCAGTACAGTTTTAAAATGTAATTATAGAAACTTTTTCACTTAAAGCCCATATGTTGCAGCTGGTAAGCAATATTCAATTCAAGC